GGGGACTATGAGAGTGAGAGAGAGAGAGAGAGAGAGTTTTGTTCCATTTGCTGATACGAGAGAGAGAGAGAGAGGCTGAATGACAAAATTAAAATATGGGTCAAATTGCGGCCGCAATCTATTTCCCAGTTGGAATGATTTTTTAAAATTTATGTAGCGTTTTTCCTGAAAAGATCACAACGAAGTCTACGAGTACTCCAATTTTCAGGTTTTTTCACGCATTCTTCTGAACACGAAAACTCACTGAATTTGGAGTACTTTTTTAGTTGGCCCAGGCATGGCTGAGTGGTAAAAATGGAAAATGTGTTGAATAGGCGCGACGATTATTTCGCAGTCTAAATGATTTTTTTTAAATATTCTATTATTATTTTTGGAAATAACACGACCTCATCTATGGATTCTCAAAATTTCAAGCTTCTGTGCATGTTCGCCTGAGCACAGAAAATCGTCAAAGTTGCCTCTTGCAAAACGCCTGTTTCGTTGTGCCTGACCTCCCTGTTTTGAGAAGACAGGGCTCAACGCCTGGGCCTGAGGGCCTTTTTGCAGTTCACATGCCCTCACTTATTTTCGGGGTCCAGTTCTACCCGAGGACCGGTCCAATGTCCCCCACTTCTTTTTGGGGTCCACTTCCACCCGAGGACCGGTCCTTCGTTTTTCCAAAAGTCCCGGTTCTACCAGAGCTAGTTGTAGGTAGTCCGCAATTTTGGCAAGGACCGGTTCCCCAATTTGTTTTGCCCCCTAAGAACCCACTTTGCGTCCTGGTCGCCCGCCGCCAAAAATGCGACACCTTGACACAGACGCGGAAGCCCACTATACCGCAGCCTAAGGGCTGCAAATTTTTGGCAACGGGCGACCAGGACGCAAAGTGGGTTCTGAGGGGGCAAAAAAAATTGGGGGATCGGTCCTTGCCAAAATTGTAGACTACCTACAGCTAGCTCTAGTAGAGCTGGGACTTTTGGTCGTTCATTACGGGTCGTTTAGTCGTTGGAAGGCTCTAAAAATGCAAGAAGGTGCAGAAATGGCACTTTGGGGGGGGGGGGGCAGTTTGTCTGGAAAAATGAGGGACCGGTAGCTGCCGGTGGGACTGCGTTTCGGGTTTTCGTCGGAACAGGTTTTGGTCGAAATCGAAACCGCGGCAAAGCAAGGGCAAATGGAAAGGGTGCATGGGGCCGGGGGCAAAGGCTGAAAAGTCCGACGAAAGTGCGCAGGCTCGAAATCGAAACGGTCGCAAGGCAGGGACAAATGGAAAGGGCGCGTGGGGCCGGGGGCAGGGACTGAAAAGTTCGATGAAAGTGCGCACTCTCTCCCTCTTTCTCTCTCTCTCTCTCTCTCTCTCTCTCTCTCTCTCTCTCTCTCTCTTTCTCTCTCTCTCTCTCTCTCTCTCTCTCT